TATTTATTACACCTTTGCCTCAAGTTTTTCAAAATCTCAGTTTGGTTCTTGTTTTATTTTTTATGGTTTTCCTTTGCCTAAATATCTATTTTTATTTACTTTCAAGTCTCAACACTCCTAAAATAAGCCTATTTTAATTTGTTTATCATCATGATCATCATCATTGACAACGTGTCATCAGCTTTTTGCAGATTTCAGTGACCAATGGCCCTTAAAAAATCATGGGTTTGGGTTTTTTCTATTTAAAACTCATATCTCAATCTATTTTTGACAAAAAAAACACACACAAAACACAAAACACCTTGATAAACCTATACATGGCCATAAAAAAATAGCTAAAAGAAATCAATCTAAAGCCAAAATTATTCTCATTATCATTTGGTAAGGAGAGAATAAAAAACATTTAAATCAAATTTCTCTTATGAAATAGAGCTTATTTACTTCAAAATCGACTATATATTTTGGTGGCTAGAACCGTCTTCTATGATTATTTTTTTTTTCTAAGCCGGAATTCAACAAGTCTTTCTTTCTTCTCAACCAAAAAAAAAAAACTCAAAAAATAGAAAAATAAAGTTTGGAATAAAAATAATTTTTTTAGAAATTAGAGGGATTGACTACCTAATATCTAAAAAATGAGGATTAAAATGAACTTTTCAAACAAATATATCACTTAATTTACTTTTTTTTCACTTCAGTTCTCTATTTTTTTAATTTAACACTCCTTCCCTAAAAAAACATATAATTAGATGCTAAAAGTTGGCTTCGAAAGAGTTCAATGGTGTCAAAAAAGATTAAGGATCAAATTAATTTTTTTTTTAAATTAAACCATTTCAATTTATAATAAATTACGAGAGAATGACTAAATAATGAAATTTGTTACCGTTTAACACCCACATGGCATAGTGATTTTGTTAATTAATTCTCATAAAATTGGATCCTCACCCTTTCACTCATGTCATACCCTTTCACTCATGTCATGTGCGCATCTAAACATGTTGAGCCATCACTAGTCTATTGGATTTTGTCCCCTCTTCTCTGTAAATGGTGCACAAGAATATTGATTAATATTCTCAATAATAAGATAATACAAAAATACTCGGAAACACCCCCACGAAATGAATCAATCATCCACTCAAATCTTAGGCATTTAGCATGAATCTAAGAACAACACAGTAAAAAGGAAAGCTTGCAGTATATGGACCTCTTTGCCATTACAATTTGCCTGAAAGAAACGACATTATAGATCTCAGCAACAACCCTAGCATGGTGTCGCCAAAGACTTGTCAAACAACAATTTGCTCCTCATTAACAACAGCAAAAATGTCACTTGTCATAACAGGGACGCCTCGGCCTAGCAATTATCTGAGCCAATTCTATCAAATGGACGGCCGTGATCTCTCACCCAACAGGAGGGGCAATGTGGGCATACGGATATTCTAATATGCTCTAGAAAATTAAGGAGTGTTATTATTATATTATTACAAGCCTTGTCTAATCCTGGTGACGCGACCATAGGAAACACCGCACGCTTGCAGTAACAGCATAGGACAGCACCTTGTAAAACACTCGCAGGAGTTTGTTTGGGGATTTTAATCACCAAAAAAAAAACAAAAAAAAAAAAAACAGAAGGAAAGAAAAAGACAGGGGCATTTTCGTACATTTGAACTAAACTTAGGATATCCGTTTCCCGAAATAAAAAAAAAAAAGAAGATAAAAAGTAGCCATTGGTTGTTCCGGAGATTAGGTTTTTTCTTTAAAAAAAAAAAAGACGGCTTCTGTTTTGTTTAGTAAACTAGATTAAAAAAATCATCGATGGGCTTCCTACGGTGCAGCACATGGCTCCAGTCATGCAACTTATCATCTTAGCTGTAGGTGTGGCTTGATGCAAGATCGTATCAAATGGTAATCATGCCTATTGCTTAAGATTTGTTTGGGAGTGCGGTCTAATCGTTTTTAATACCTTTTTATTTTAAATTATTTTAATATATATATATATAATAAAATTTTTAAAAATATTATTTTTAAGTAAAAAATATTTTAAAAAATAATACATTACAGTATTTCTAAAAAAAAATTATAGCTGATTTTTAAAAATGGAAACACTTGAGTTCTTTCGGTATTTCACTCTAAGAAAACCACGAGAGGAAATGATAGTTTGAAATTGTATTTCAAATGATATTTCTAAGAAAATTGAAATTTTTTTTTGCATTGAATTAGTTTTTTAATGCTTTTAAATGTGTTAATGTTAATTTTTTAAAATAAAAAAAGTATTATTTTAATATATTTTTTTGAATAAAAAACATTTAAAAACAACCACCACATAACATACAGACACACCCGGAAAAAGGGAAGAAGAACCGGTCGATGATGGACCGGCAGTTGTGAGTTTTTGCTAGGGACCCACAAGGCGACTGGCTACATTTTCTATTTTATTTTATTTTTGTATCTCCATTATTCTACCTTGTATGGAGTTATGCGGAGCACCTTTTCTTCTTCTTCTTCTTTTTAGCAATGGCGTCCATACGAGAACTAATTCTAAATTGATGAAAATGACCTCTCATTGTCCCCAATCTTCACACTGAATGGCCAAAAAATTAAGATGGACGAGGGCAACCTCGTCATTATAAAGCAAGCCCAGAAAGAGCGAGAAGGTTGCCTTGTCGTGTAATTTAAAGTCATAGACTTTGAAGATTAGAGGAGGATGCATGGTATACGGTGAAAACAAAAGCAGAGGGAGGTAAGTTACTTGAACCCATCCAATTTATGCACAATGCATCTCGTGATTTGCCCTTTACTCTTGGTGTTATCATTGCCATTAATTCTCAACAAAGCATCATTTATAACAAGAAAGAGAGGGTTTTTTTTTTTTAATTAAGCTATAAAACTATTTTAATCTTGTAAATACGAGATGAATCATAGGATTATAATATTTTATAAATATCGATATTTTATAAATACGAGATGAATCATAGGATCATGGTGCTCATAATTGGTGTATTCTCTCGGGTTCTTAATAAAAAAATAAAATAAAACTTACGATCTATAACTAAAATAAATCAAGAAAATAAATAATAAAATATCATTAATTACTCTACAAGCAACTAAATAATAAATCAAGAAAATAGCATTGTTTTATAAATATTGATTTTTTTCTTGCTTGTTGATTTCAAACGATCATGGTATTGTCGATGAAAATGCTTGCATTGGAAAGTTTTGCAAAGAAAGGGTGATACATGCTTAGTTCAAACAAATTTGTCAATGGTCTCTGGGTGTATGATTCATTGAAGGAAAACAAATCATATAATTTAAACTCCGTAAAACATGTAATAAATTAAGGTATAGAAAATAAAAGCATACAAAGTGATGTAATGCCATGACCTTCTAGTCCATTGACCTGTCCCCGGGTGAAGGCCAAGTAATTAATGAGCTGTATGGACCTTTTTTTCATTACTTTCCATAAAAAAAAAATAATAACAAAAGGTTGGTTTTTATTAGGTCAAAATCTGTCGATGGACGAACTACCCAATCTAATTGCTATGTATTGTGTTTGTTATTGAGTTGTTTTTAAAAATTATTTTTTTATTTATAACATTTATATATAAAATAATTGAAAAATATTAATTTAATACACATTTTTAAATTAATAACATTTATAACACATTCTTCTTGAAATGCACTTGAAGAAAGAAGCTATCATATTGCTATAGTTAATGTTTGAGAAGGCGATTAAAATTAGAGTTTTGTATTTTTTTATTTTTTGGTTTTTTAATTGTTTTGAAGTCAAAACTAAATTTTAAAAAATAAAAAAATATTATTTTATTATATTTTCAAATAAAAATAATTGTAAAAAAACAATATTTACCACTAATATAGCCATCAAATTCATTCATAACAAATATTCTTTTTCAATGGTGTGTAAGATTTTCAATAAAAATAATATAAATTGAATTTTCTGAAGCCTCAGGTTTTTGGGGCATTTTTAATTTACAATAAGTTGTGATACAGTAAGAGGGTCCGGATATTACGAAGCTGGAGACTTCCTTGATCGCCTTTAAATCTTAAAAGACTTTCAAAGGGCAAAGCTACATTTAGTGGGTCCCTTTCAAGTTGTTTTGCAAATTAGACGGTGATAAATGAGCTGTGACCACCAATTAACATAGGCCATGCCCTCTCTGTTCCCTTCTCTCTCTCTCTCTCTTTTTTTTTTCTTTTTCCAAATTTCTGATGTTCTCTTGCTATTTAGCCTTTCTTCTACTCCTCCCTTAACTCATTTCAATATGTTTCTGAAATTGAAATAAATACACACTCACACACACGTACTGCCATTGTATTAATATTCTCTTTTATTATCCTATTTAATTTTTTTAAATAAAAAAACTCAAAGTAATAGTATTTTTAAGACGAGAAGAGCATGATTTCTGAAACAAATTTTATTTCTCCCCGAAAAAACCATTTTCATTATTTTTGAAAAAATTAATATTTGCTGTGAGGTTTTGAAAAACCTCCACAACACACATGAGAAGTAGAGGAGAATAGTCAACAGGGATAGAAGCAATAGTATTCCCCTAACCATGTCTCCATTTAAGGTTAAAAAAAACCAAGCACAACAAATATATATATATATATATATATTTACATTATAGAAAGGAAATTGAAAACCTTTCAATTAACATTAAAAATAAATAAAAATAAAGCAAAAGCAAAGAAAGGTCCTCAACATTTACTTCATATACAATACAACAACAACACAACAAGAGGTCATATACATAGACAAACACACACACACACACACCTTCTCTCTCTCTCTCACATTTCACCTTCCTCCTTTCCACAGCCATTTATTAGATTCCTCTAAGTGGTCTTTTCTCTTCTTCATTGGATTGTATAGATTCCCAGCTGGAAATACTCTCCATTTCTTGTTAGATTTTTTTTCCCTTTTAATTGCTGTTTTTGTTTCATTTTCTCTTTTTTTTTTTTTTTTTTTTTTTTTTTTTTTTTTTTTTTTTTTTTTTTTTTTCTCTTTCAACTATAAGACTTGTTAAACTCTTTCTGGGTTTCTTGGCTTTTGCTTTATTTTGCAAGCACTGTTTCTGGGCTTGCTGCAAAAGAGCCTTATATACCCAAGAACCACTGATATATGTCTTACAAGGCTTAATAAAAAGAACAAATTTACACAAAGTTTTGATCTTTTCCTCAACTGTTTGTTGTCTATAAATTGAGTTTTCATATTTTTATTCCTTTTCTACTTTGTAAATTATCATCTCCTTTGAATTTTAATCTTGTTGAGTCAAGGAAAAAAGAGAGAGATATGGGCAAACAAGGACCTTGCTGTCACTGTGGAGTTACAAGTGAGTTCTTGTTTCTCCTTTCTTTTTGACAAAAAATTGGTTTCCCCCTTTTGTTCTCTCTTCAATAAAGATTCTTGCAATTGATTTTTACATGTATAGAAAACACAATGACTATAACCAGAATGACCACAACCAACAAGGAAGAGATTACGTGGACAAACATAATAAATTGGGAACACTTGCTCTTCTGTTTATACATGGGTTCTGGGCAACAAGTGTCTTTTGTTTCTTTGAACATATCAGATGCTCAATTGTTTCTTGTTTTTCATTTTGTTAATGAATCTGTAAATCCTTCCCTTTATCTACTGGTTTTTTCTTTTTTGACCGCTCTAACAAGGTTTGAACATATCACATCACTGCAAATTGGTTTTGGAGTTTGTTGAGTTCTGGGTAACTACTTAGTCTATGCTTGATTCGTATGACTTTCTTATTTCTATATAGGATTTTAACGGGACCAAATACCAAGTCAAATTGTGCTGTTCTTTGCTGAACTTAACAATTCAATGAAAAATGTACTTCCTTGACATTTTCAAGTAGTGATTCAATTCCTGTCTGTTACTTGGGGTTTTTACTGCCAGAGCTATGAAGCAATTCAATTCATGTGAAATATATAATTCCTTTTTTTGTTTTTTTTGCTCTGGAATCAGCTGTAAAGTCTAAACTTCCTAGAGGCCGAACAGTTCCTTTATCATTCCAGTGGACTTTGGTCATTGTTTGGGTTGCATTTGTTGGGAGTGTAATGGTCATGCTTGCAAACTCCAAAGAAATAAGTTCGTCTTAAGTTAATTTGCTGCAGCTAGAACTCTTCTCAAGGAGCTTATATCTATGCTGCCTGGCTATAGGTTAAATGTCTTGTGGTTTGCCAACCACTACTGGTGGATTAGCCGTTGCAAGGAGGCAACCACATTTGTGGACTTGTTCTATTCAATATAAAAAAGACTTATCAGTATCCAGCAGAGCTTTTTCTGGTCTGAATTGCTGGATTTGTGCCTATGTAGTCTCCTTATCCCGTTCATAATTTGTTTGATGCATATGGGCTGCTCTCATGCGATTCATTCTCAGATTAGAGACACAGTTGGACAATACCAGTACATCAATGCCTCGTTATTAGATACACAAAATTCTAGCTAAAATTATTTTGTTGGTTTCTTGTGTCAAGTTTTGGATGAGCAATATTTCCTCCTTGTTCATTCACATTAATTTAAACTGCATCTTCTATCACTGCTGTGGATAAGATTGTTTAACATGCATGTATATTGCTGACAACTATCTTTCAACAGGCACACCTCTTTGGCGCAATGGGCCTCCTGAAAAGCCAGTGCTGTGCAATGCATGTGGATCACGATGGAGGACAAAGGGAACACTAGCAAACTATACCCCTCTTCATGCTAGGGCTGAACCTGATGATTATGAGGATCACAGGGTCTCTAGATTGAAGAGTGTGTCTATAAGCAAGAACAAAGAAGCGAAGCTGCTCAAGAGAAAGCCAAATTATGACAATAGGGTTGCTCTCGATTACAACCAAGGTTATAGAAAGGTTGTAGATGAGGACACTAGTAATAGGTCAAGTTCTGGGTCAGCCATATCCAACCCGGAGAGTTGTGCACAATTTGGCAGTGCAGAAGCAAGTGATTTGACAGGTTGAGCATCCACTAAGATCAATATTTGTTCCCTGTGTTTTAATTGCACAAAAGAGATCACTCTAAAAGAATGTGATTGTTGGCCATTTGTTAAATTGAATGGATTAGTTGCATATCCAGTCCATGTGAATGCTTTGGTTGGTTTAAGAAAATAATGGATTCAGGAAACAGCTCCAAATTAGTGGGAAATGAAAACTATGAGAGGTGATCATAGTGCTGTTGAACGGCAGCAAAACAGAGCTCTGAAGAATCTCACTCTGATTTTCTGAATAAACACGAGTGACTACCTTGATTTTCTAGGATGCTAGCATACTTGAAGCTGGCTGCTAGGCTACTTTATCTGAATAAAGAAATACTACTATGGTTAACACCTCTTTTATTGGGACTAGTGATGTGTGAGTGTAACTGGAACCAAATTAACCAATTTCCTCAGTACTATTGCTCCGCTGTTTTAGAACCAATATGCTTGGTGCCCTTAGTTCTCAATCTTTGCCTGAGTTTTATAGGGGATGGTGACATAAATTAGAAAGGTGTATGCAATGTTTTATGCTCTCAACATGATTGGCAGTATTGACTTATAAATGTATTCTCATTGTTCTTTTCTCAGGTCCAGCCCAATCAGTTGTGTGGGACTCTTTGGTGCCTTCTAGGAAGAGGACCTGTGTCAATCGGCCAAAGCCATCTTCAGTTGAGAAGCTTACAAAAGATCTATATACTATTTTGCATGAGCAGCAGTCGTCATGCTTCTCTGGCTCTTCAGAAGAGGATTTACTTTTTGACAATGAAACTCCAATGGTTTCTGTTGAGATAGGACATGGAAGTGTTCTCATTAGACATCCAAGCTCAATAGCTCGAGATGAGGAATCTGAAGCTAGCTCTCTTTCTGTTGAGAACAAACAATATTTGACAAATGAGGCTTATTCTCATCCTGTGATACTTCCTGTACATAATGAAAACAAGAGTGTTAATACAACATATCCTTTTACTGAAACAACTAAGAATCTCACAGGACAAGGGATGCAGCAAGAGCAACTTAAGAGGTAACTCATCCATGCATGTATTTAAAACTTTGAAAGGCAATCTTCTGTGTTAAATATGTAACAAGGATAGAACCACAGTATCAGTGTTGAACCTGGATATGATGTTTTTCTATCCTGACTGCCTCCTAAAGATTAAAATTCAAGTGCAAATGTAAATTCCGACACGGGGTAGGTTTTAGCATGGATAGAAAATGTTCATAAAATAAGCTGGTGAGTGGGGTGGAATCAGAGGTTTACCTTTCAGACTACTAGTAGGATGCAGGGAGTATTGGAATGGCAAAGAAGTGAGAGCACATTGGGGAACTGTTATGGCAACAGTGTTTAATTTTTCTACTCTTCGGAATTTCAGGGACAAGTTTCCACATGAAAAAGTACATATCCTGGGAAGTCATAATTCACCACTTTGCAGCATAGATTTGAATGTAAGTTGCATTTCTTTGCTCCATATCTAACTCTTGTAAGCACTAATTACACGAGGCTTTTTCATGAAATATGTGCCATTCATTTTCTTGTACACAGACCCAAATTCCAAGGTTAACACTCTTCTGTTTTTGAATGATCTGTGAATCTTCCCCCACATATATTTACTACTCTCGTGGATTGAACAGAAGTCTCAAATGTTTAGATATGTCTGGAACATATCTTCTTTAATATCATTCCCTTTGTGTGCGTCTCATGATTCTGCTTATGGTTGTGGTAGGATATTATTAACTTTGAGGAGTTTGCAAGGCACTTGACAAATGAAGAGCAACAGCAATTACTAAAATATCTACCTCCACTCGATACTACCAAACTTCCCAACAGGTTAGCCTTATACCTCAGTGATAAGTGTTAGGACGGTGGGAATGAATGGTATTGCAATTAGGTGATGCAAGGCATTGTATTTGCTGTCAGTTGCCATCTGCTTTTCATTTTTATTTTCTGTATTCATTAGCACTTTAAATCAATGTTTGCATTCTTCAATATCATCATGAACCTGATACCATTTGCATTTATACCCAAGCCTTTTAGTGTGCTCAGTATAGATTAGACTGGAGTCAGCTCATGGAAAAAAGAAAAGATATTATATTTTTTGTCTGTTGGTGTGTGTGTATTTGTTGTACAAATTATTCTATCACCCTTTATCTAATGTCAACTGAAATACACAGAAACCAAGATTGATGATGATGTGTTGTTGTCTTTGCAGCATTGAAAGCATGTTTGATAGCCCCCAATTCAAGGAAAACATAAATTCCTATCAGCAACTGCTTTCAGAAGGAGTCTTTGATCTGTCCTTCTCAGAAGCAAAAACTGAAGACTGTAAAACTTTGAAAAGGCTCACACTGTCCAATTTGTTGAAATCCAAATGGGTGGAGCGTTATCATCTTCTCAAGGTATGAATTGATCTTTTTAAAGTAGGAACTTTATTGCATGAAAATATTATTTGTCATTTAATTCCTCGGAAGTTGGACATGTGGTTGTAATGGCTTATTGCCTTCTCCCTTTGGCTGCAGAAGTGTAAAAATAGTAATGGGAAGTCTTTCGTTGGAAAGGGACCAAATCCAGATGTTGTTGCAATGAGTAATATAGCTGGTGCCAAAAGATCACGTGACAGCCCTAGTCAGAAGTTTTCAGGTTAGCAATGCTCACCTTTGGATATATTACTGAGCAAGTTGATCCTTTACATTACTTTTGTCTTAGAAGCAAATGACTACCGATGGTGACATTGTATCTCAAAGTTGAGTGACTAAATTCTGCTTGTAAAAGCTTAGGAATCCGTTAATATGGGAGAGGAACATGCTAATACAAATAAGTGTGTTAAATCAATCCTGTGCTGAATTTTCTGCAATTTTTTATTTGGAATTGCGGTAATGGGGGTGTACCAAATCCTTCACGTCATATTTAGTATAAGTTCATTTTAATCAGAACAGCGTATGTTAAAGAACACATACAATACAGATGTAGATGTAGATGTAGATGTAGATATTCACCCAATGAAACATGCCAGCTATGATTAGGAATTGCACACGGCATGGACATAGTTAACACGTAGAATCCCTCTGGAGATGATTACTAGATTGTCACCACCAGCATGTGTGGTGAAAGTTAAAGGTGATTGTCTTCATGGATGTCAGTTGATTCTTTTTTACAACCATTTCCCTGATATGCATTGGAACTATTCTCACAAGCTTTTTCTTTTGTCTTCTCTCAGAAGTGAAGTTAATGAAGAGCCCCAAAAGGGTTACCATGAAGGCTACGTATGAGAACAAAGAACTCATAGACAATGATGGATCTTGCTTTAGTCCAAGAAGCCTATTTGCCCTGCCTCCTGATGGTAGCTCCCTCATGCTGGATTCTCTCCATTTTGTGGATGAAAGTTCTGATCAGGACCTGCTGCTGGACATCCCATCCAATGGTTCATTTGCACAGGCAGAGCTCTTTTACCCAACTAATAGTTTTGGTCAACAGGCAAGCACTAGTAGTAGCTCAATATACCCGCACCTAGGCCGCCCCTAACAAAGTTTGTCCGGTTGATTCTTTTAATCACTAGGGCCAAAAATAGATGCACCTTCCGCTGAATCAGGTGACTAGGTTACACATGTTTTGGATGCCAAACCCAACAAGTCTGTGAATGAGGTTTGATGGTTGCTGTTTTTTCCTTGGATCATTTTGAACTTGGTATGCTAAGAGATGACTTTTGGGTGGGTTTTTGTATAGGTTGACTACAGATTGTTATATATGGCTGAAAAGTGATAGCAGCTGGTGATTTCAAGAGTTTTATATGCAATTATAGTTGCTGTATTGCACATTACTTTAAGAACCCGTTCGTTGGTTTGGTTGGTCGCCTTTTTACTTGCCGACTCAGAGGGAGTATAAACCAAAAAGAAAAGGAGGAATGGCTTTCTAGGCTGCATAGAGAAAAAAGGTAGACATTTTAGCTTTTGTTTTTACCTTTTGGAGGATGCCTGCCTGCATCTAAACGATAAGATACACCCCCCTGCGGACTACTAAAGGATATAAAGAGAAACGAACATAAATCTGCAGTGGAATAGCGTTTTTGAATGCGACCAGGAGGAATCACGAGGAAATAGTTTTGTTTTTTTGAATGAGACTACTGCGATCGATGCTATTTGTTTAACACCACCTTTGATCACCAGGATTAGTTGTGGGGAAAGTTGAAGCTGGGTGCCTCTCTCTCTTTGTGGTTGGGAATAAGTCAAAATTTGCATACAAAATAGAGAAGTTAGATTTCGAATCATATTCAAGATATTGCTAATCCTCCATGAGTTCCTTAAGCAGATTTTATAGCATGGGGAGCGGTCTGGTTGGCAAGAAAATAAAGGAATCGAGGGAGTCAGGATTCCAATGGCTTTTAATGCCGAAAACGAAATCATCGCAGAAGTCAAAGTGTTTTATGAAAATAGTTTTCAATAATTGCTCGCTTTTTCTATCGTGACGTGTTTTAACCGAGCAAACTCCGAGTGGTTGTGAAAATTTGAAAGAACATCATAAAGATCAAATTGACTCTCTCAATCAGGCTTTCTAACTTCGCAGTCTTTCAATCTCAAAAAAGAGAAGGAGAATACCTTACCATACCAATCCATACCATTTTCATTCAATTAAAGAAACAAGGAGGTGTATTTCCCGCAATGTCAGGGATCTTAGGAAACCATGCCGGCCGAACTTCTTGACATAACATCCCCTGCGATAATATGGGGGGCCTGTTACATATCTGAATCCGATATGATTCATGTAGCTTCTCCCATCGAAGCAGAAATATAGAATTATCCATATCTTGGTTAAGAATCACAAACTTACTGTTTACAGTCACAGAAGGCACTCTCCATCCTCTCTCTGGTTTATTATACTTGTCAGGGAAATGTAGAGTTATGTTCAACAGACAACAGGAGCTCAGAAAATAGACAAGACCGATGACCCCAAGTTAAGATGGAAAGCGTGTTCGCATCCTTTCGACAGCACCAATAAAAGTTAAAACCAATGATAGAACGCCCTAGAAGTCAATTTTGTCCCTCCCAGGCATCAGGCATGCATCATGGTGGGCCAATCATTGTGTTTTTTAACCTGGCCTAGGAAGCCAACCTTTTTGCTTGCATATCATCCACAATTACCTGCTCATTGTAACTTAGTAGCCGCTACTTTGTTTGGCTCAATTGAACATGTACACACTTTTCACAGGTTTCCCTGGTTTCAGGGAAGATGGAAGAAAAAAGTGTGGCCTTTACCGGTTTCCTAGTTTGATAACCAGGGCATAGTTCATCTGAAGTCTACTTTGATTACATAGTAAAGAGTCTTTACTTTTTTGAATGAATGAAGAAAAGAAAACAAAGGAAAAATAAAGCGAGTCCGCGCATCTCATCAACTAACAATAACGACTCATTTATACATGTTCTGTACAATACAGCTTCTGTGCTAAAAAATAATCCATTTACACCTCACAAGTCACAACCAGGGAAATACCAAAGGATATCTCCTAACATTACCAAGGGACAACTCCTAACATTCATATTTGTCCAGCAAAAAGTTAAGGCAGCAGAACCATTTCTAATTTCCAAGTTCAAAAACCTACCTGCCTCTATGGATTTTTAACATGAAGCTTCAAAGCAAAATATCCATGCTCCTCCAAAGGTAACAAGCAGACCCACCACACCAAATCTCCCACAAAAAACTAACATTTGCTAAGAACTCACCTTCCTGTCTTTGTCATCTCCGAATCAATACTCCTCCTTTGGCAGTTAACAAGGCCTAAGGAAAAGTCAAGCCACCTATCTTCGCAGCATCCAAGATACTTAACTTTTCCAGACTTGGATCATAATGCTCGTTCTCTGCAAGTATCTTCAACACATCTAATAGTGTGATCTCAAGATGCATACAGGTCATCTCAGACAAAACAGCAACATGCTCAGCTTTCCCTGCTCCTGCATTCTCCTTCCTTCCTTGTACAGATGCTGGCAACACACGTTTTTCTGTGACATCATCCGTGCCATAAACATTTGCAGGACCAACATATCTCAACTTGTCGAGGTCATCTATGCTTTTTCTAGCAGAATGTTCCTCCCTAGTATCAGCTTCCAACTCTTCCACTCCATCAACAAACCTCAAAGCTGCATCAGTTTCTTCAATCTCAGATTCTATCACCTCAGTAGAAAATTGCAACTTCCTCTTTGCTGAGCTCTCTCCACTACATTCTCTATCACTATTACTGACTTCAATCACCATTTCTCCAACTAGCTCATTTTGCGGTGATTTCAAACCATGGTTAGAACCATTACCTCCCTCAGAGCCCAATTTCTCTACAGAATCCCCCAAATCCTCCCTTATCCTCTCCATATCACTCACTAAACTACTGCTTGGAATCCCCAAAACCGAATTTTTATCCAAAGGTTTTGATCTTTTCGACTCAGTCATGGTTACATCCACTGTTTTCACTAACCTCTCGTCATATTTCACAGGTTCAGCCCCTACACTAGCACGTGGAGTCCACTTAAATTTATCCAATGATTTCACCAATCTCTTTAAACTGTTCCCTATTTCAGCTCTTAAACTAGGTTCTGGGGTCACTATGCCCGCATTTTTATCATACAGTTTCGATCTTTTGCTCGAAGACTCACCTAAAGCATTGTTTGAAGAAGCTAATACTCTTTTCAAAACCATACCTTTCATATAATTACAGTGAATTACCTCTTTGTCTTGATAATTATCCTCACCACCACCCGAATCGCCTTCAATTTCAATTCTCTCCGTCAATTCCCCCTCTACAGTAAACCCTAGATCCTTCTCTCGCGAACTTTCCTCACAATCTCCATCATCAACGGCAACATTTTCATCAGTTACAAATCTCTCAAACCTCCGATCTTCCTTTACGTGATCAAAGGCAACCTCCTCCTCCTCCTGCTGCTGCTCGTGTCGTTTTTTGGAGCTTGAGAGGAAGGGTTCTTCAGGTGGAGTGGTGAAAACGCCGTCGTTCTGAAGGTTCGAATTGTCATATAGGCCGTCCTTGTGGTTATCCTGGGGAGTTTGTGGAGGGGAGACCATGGTGATAGCGGTAGAAGCGACTGGGATTTCGGCGTCGAGGGAGAGAAGCTCGCCGTTTGTCTGAGGTTCCAGAGCAAAGGGGCAGTGGTTTAAGTGTTGCTCTTGGGAAGATGAGACTTGACACAGCTTTGTTATTGCTGCGAATGGATCGTTTTCCTCCATTTTTTTTTGCAGGCGAAGATTAGGGTTTTCCCCCCCTTCTTTTCTTTTTAAAGAGAGAGAGAGAGAGAGGGTGATTGTTTGGGGTTTCTAGGGATTGGACTTGTCATGAATTGATTTTCCCGCCATTTGTTCTTTTATCAACGGTAGGTGATTAAATAAACGGTATTTTATATTTATTTCACATATATAAACGAACTGTCGTTTAGTTTCCATTGCCGTAACGGCTCTTTTTTCATTACCTAATTGTATAAATGAACAGTAACTGGAATTCTTTTCTTCAATTTCATTATCATTTTTTTTTTTCAATTATAGCACTTGATACCAATTCAATTACTAATAAGTCAAAAATTATTAACGAAGGAAACTATTAAAAGGTAAGGGATCAAAGTGAAAAAGATAAAAAGATTAAGTGGTTATTTAATATTTGGTAACAAATATTACGTTTTGCCCTCCAACTTTTAAAACTTTTCCAGTTCTTCTAGTTTTCAAAGGTTTACTGTTAATATATTTTTTTTAATATTTTAATATTTATATTTTGAGAAAGAAGAGAGATTCGTTGAATTCTAGTTGAATAGCAAAAATATTATTGGTTAAAATTGATTGTAATATTGACATTAATAAGTTTCTTTTAATAAAAAAAAATTCATTAGATTTTCTTTGTTTTAATCTTGCTTTAAAAAGTAAATGCCACCTCAAGAATTTTTAAAATTTTTTTATGGCATAAGAATGTGGGACCACAGCATGCTAGGCCTAGTTTTTTTATTTTTTTTTAACTTTGAATTTTTTTGATTTTACCTTGATTTTGAACTAATCTTTAAATTATTTTACCATATAATTTAATAAAAAATTTATTATTGAGAATCCAAAACCTAAAGCAGAAGTTTATCAAATTAACTTGAAACATGAATTTAATGAGTAAATTCAGATTAATTTAATATATCATCAAGTTATTAAAAGATATTTAGGTTTTCTTTTTAAAAAAATTGGAATTAGATTTATATATACTAGAAAAAAACTATTATTTAATGTTATCATCTTTCTCAAATAATATGGTAAGTTTTTACATGGATTTTAACATTTTTTTTACATATGGATTTTAACATTTTTTTTTTTAACTGTAACGTACTTCACATAAAATAAGAATTCGTGAGTGTTTTTTTAAAGAATTTTAATAAAATTTTATCACATTAATAAATCTTTTTCTTTAATCATGCATAAAATATTAAAACTTTATCTAAATATTTTATTTTAAATTTTCTTTTGAGATTAAAATAGATTTTTATTTAGAAAACAAGCTTCCAATTTAGAAAAAAAATTTACATTATTTTTTTGTATTCGACCTACAATGTAATGTGAGACAATAACCTAGTTCATCTAGAAAATTTGGGAAAGTTTATAGAGCATTATTCAGACTTTTTTTTTTCCTTTCAATTACATTTTTCTATGGCCTAATTAGATAAATTCATGACAAATTTACCCGAGATAAGACTAAATTGTAAAACAAGGATAAAATACATAGCTAACCTCTAACTCACAACAATTTTTATTTTGATAAAAACATTTAATATTTTCTTTTTTCCATTCATGGATTAGAAAGAGCAGAAA